TCCAGAAATAAGCTCATGCGTTTTGGGGTTAATTAGTGTTATTATGAATGATTTAGTAATTAGTATCTGAATAATTATTATCAGTGAGAAACAACAAATGGCGCCTGATATTAACAGTAAAAATAATGGTCGTAAATTTAACAGTGTGTGTGTGTGTGTGTGTGTGTAGCAGGTAAAGTTGCGGGGGAAATAAGACGCTCTAAGATGTTGTATAAATAGTTACTAGTGGACGAGTAGAATATAAAGACTTATTATAAACACAGAACCAGAAAGTAGCAGAACCAGAAAGTAGCTGAACCAGAAGGTAGCTGAACCAGAAGGTAGCAGAACCAAAAAGTGGCAGAATCAACCAAGAACTGAAACCTGACTCCAACTCTACATATGTCTACTCACAGCTAAGATTACCAAGTTCTTAGATACCTACATAATGACTGTATTGTAGAGTCGAGAACAAAACTTGGTTCCTTGTGGTGAAACTGAGTCAGGGGAATGAGTCTCCGAACTGACTTACCCTGACTGTCATCTGGTGAGGGTATGTGTAGTTTGGTCCCATATGGGGGGTCGATACTGCTTCACTTTGGGAGAGAGAGAGGAAGTGAACTTTTGACCTTTCACGGACATATAGACAAGGGAGAGAGGTGAGAGGTAGACAAGAGTTTGGTGAGAGGTAGACAAGAGGTAAGTGAGAGGTAGAAAAAACTAGGTGAGAGAGAAAGAGGTGAGAGGTACACAGAAACTAGGTGAGAGGTGACAGGGGAAGAGGAGAGAGGAAACAGAAATATGAAATCCCCGGAGATGGGACAGCTGACCATCCCCAAGAGTGACAGCTGGAGCTCTGAGTCAGGTGAGGATTTAAGTGAAAACATCGCTACTGAGAATTAATTCAGAAAAATAACTCATGTGAGCTTTGTGAGCACTGACAGAAGGGAAGGGTGAAAGGAGGATTGAAAATTAACATAGGTGTGTTATATGTGGATACTCTTTCAGGTGTGTGTGTGTGTGTGTGTGTGTGTGTGTGTGTGTGTGTGTGTGTGTGTATTATCTTTTTGTCGATACAGTAGACAGCTTAAACCATTCATTACTGAGGATGTAAAGAGGACAATCACCGCTATATTGCTTTTTCTATCCGGTCAAAAGTTTGTATTTTGATATTTGTTTTCCGGGAGAAGATATCGTTCGTAAACTCACCTGCGAATCACGTTTGTATTTTTCTCCTCGTCTCGTCGCCGCATTCCTCGTTCAGGGAAGGTCTCGCTCGAGCTTTCACCATTTTTTTTATCCTTGTATTTTCATTTGTAGTTGATTTTTTTTTTTTTTTTAGCTCTTGAGTACCAAAGAAACAACGTAAATAACTCGATAAATGGAGGAGAGGACAAAGAGAATTAGGGAAGGGAGAGAAAAGTTCCTGAGGGAGAGATGGAGAATAAGAAGAGGAAATGGAGAAGAAGGGAAGATAGATGATAAGGTTGTCAAAAGGAGGAAGATAAGAGAAAGAAGGGTTTGAGAGACAGAGAACGAGAAGAAGAAAAGGAGAAAAGAAAGGAAGATAAATGATAAAGCTGACAAAAGGAAGAAGATAAAAGAGAAAGAAATAAAAAGCGATAATAAGACAACAAAAAAAGAGATTAATTTAAAGATTCAATCTCTTTTATAACATTATTACAACGTTTATTATCAGATCTATGTTATTTCTCCATAGTTATCAGTTCTGTTCTGACTCTTCTCTTACTGCAAACTCTCCATCGTGGTCACCAGCTGAGAACCACAAGTAGAATGTGTGGACGTGAGGAGAGGTGACTTGGAGTCCTCTTACCTCCCTGTGCCTTTAGAATCTAGGCTCCGGGAGATGACGACAGAGAAGAACATTAATGATGATGGGTAAGGACCAATCACCTCACGTCATGCCCGCATTAGCGTAGATTCTGTCAGATTGCCTCGTGACGTTACCAATTCTTAACATTGCTTCACACTCTACTACAACGATCACTGTCTCACGTATTTAATATTGCGACATCACTAGTGGCAAGACACGAATCCTTCAATGATGTATAAATGGTTTTTGTTAAGAAATATTAGACATAGACCTTGATGATGTACACTCACAAAAACTATCTATACAAAATTATGTTGAGAAAATATGACACAACGGACGAAAGATTTTGGCAACCCTACCGAGACAACAGGAGTTACAGTGTTCATTCTGAAATTCATCGATCACTTCAAGTACAGATAGTTTTTTGAGTGACTGTATGGCCGAAGTGAAGTGATATAAAGAGCATTAGAAGACACTTACACGAGACACTCAAGACAGTGACGGGTCTACCTGGAGGACAAGTAACGAACGAACAACTCAAGTATTATATAAATGCTACTTAGAATCACGCCAAGAAGACCTTTAGGGAACAAATTGGCTTAAAGTTGTTGAATTAGTTAAGAACACATTATGTGAAACGTCTGTCTGTCTGTCTGTCTGTCTCTCTGTCTGTCTGTCTTTCATAAAGTTAATAAGGGAACTCGATATTGTTACGAATTTAATTGTTTACCGAGACAGCGAGCAGCCTCTCGGGTTCAAGAGCAATGGAATCTACTTCACCTTAAATGTCACCTGTAATTAACTGCAATTACAGCTACATTACGAGTTAGATAATTACAGAGAAATCCTCCTCAAAGGTAATAGCAAGTAACTGTAATTATTACTTCTAATTAACTTCACTTAATTATCAATCTAATTATCAAAGGAGTAATAAAACAGCATTAAAGTATAACCACCACCATTAAGACGATCACCTTTGTGGTCTCTGATGATATAGTTCAGGATAAAGGTACACACACACACACACACACACACACACACACACACACACACACACACACACACATAAAGTGTAACTGTACGAACACACAAGCATGCGCCGTAATCACTTCCATACATAAACAGACATTCAATTCTACTCGCGGACTTGTATCTCCAAAAACACAGAAAAGCACTGAGGCTAAAGTGTGTGTGTGTGTGTGTGTGTGTGTGTGTGTGTGTGTGTGTAGAGGCACCAGCAGGCACAGCAGCATGTGTGCCGAGGTTGACGTCTGACTCCACCATACACATCCTCAGCTAGCATAGGCACTTTTACTTGTGACAATAAAATAAAAACAAAATCCTTGAAGATTATTAGAGAGGAAGACTGTCTTAAATAAAGCGATTAGTTGATTTTGTTTTTCTGCTGTGATGATGATTCTTGATAAATTTATAATACTTTCACAACACAGAAAACATATAGAGTGAGTTGAACACGCAAACACTTTTTTTTTATATATCAAGAAATTATTTACAAACCAATTTGAGTAGAAATGAAATATTGAGAAAATACGAAGTTCGAAGAAAAGAATAAAATCGACCTAACGATAACAAATACTAAACCTATTTCTATTCCAGTATCATATTGACTATACACAGTTCAGTACCACCTGCACCACAATTCAGAGACGTGTTTTTGTGTCTATTTCCTCGTAGATCTTCCAGCCTTTGTTGACGATAGCACGGCGAATGAAGAGAGGCAGGCGAGACGAGGTACAACACGGCGTCTAGCACCTATTTACGGCTACCGTGTCTCCGAGGAATTGAGTATATGCTCTCTCTGTCCTGCTACATACCGTTATTTAAGCCATATTCTATGAAACCTCCATATAACGGACTTCGGTTTAACAGACTAACCTCTTACACGTAACTTAATCACCAATCAATATCAAATTTTACCTAGAGTTACAAAAGTTCACCTATCAGCTCACCTGTCAGTTCACCTATCAGCTCACCTATCAGCTCACCTGCAGTCAGCTCACCTATCAACTCATCTGTCAGCTCACCTGGGCCTGAAATTGGATTGTTTTCTTACTGTGGGCGATTACCTGCCAGAGACAGCATAAAATTCACCCAACACACATTACCTCTGTCAGTCTCGGCCGCTGCCAAATGCTAAAGTTAACTGAGAGTGAATTATGGAAGGACTCAAAACTGCAATGCATTTTAATGAACTGTAAATCACGTAAATGCTCTGGCTGTTGTTTAGATGTTATTTATGGTGTTATTTATGGCTGTGTGTGTGTGTGTGTGTGTGTGTGTGTGTGTGTGTGTGTGTGTGTGTGTGTGTGTGTGTGTGTGTGTGTGTACGGGCTCTTGAGTTTATCATTGTGATTTAAGATGTAGCGATAACTTTCCTGTGTCTTTTTGTTTAACCTCTGATTGATGATGTTGATAACCATAATAGATAGAAATGATTACCTTTATACATTACCTAACCTAACCTAACCTAACCTAACCTAACCTAACCTAACCTAACCTACGTATTATTGTTTGGTTCCTAAATTAAAGGTTTATGTTGTGATGAAATAGAAAAATAAAATTACCCTTTCCCTCTCTTCCTCTTCTCCTCCTCCCCTCCTCCCTCTCCCTCTCTCTCTTCCCCCCTCCTCTCTCTCTTCCTCCCCCTCCTCTCTCTTCCCCCTTCCCCTTGTGGTTATCTCTCTCAGCATCGAGGCCAGACCCAGTAGTGCCTCAGAGAAACTACCATAAACACAGATATTTCTTAATTTAACGAAGAGAAACTATTACCATTATTTTGGTTCTCTAATATAACATTTTATAACGGTATAAATTGCATTGATGTGGATATGTAAATGATTTTCACTCTTATGCTGGGCTGTGGAAGGTCGAGAAGTCTTTATCATGTTGTATAGCACGATTTAATGCCTTCAGTACGATAACTTAACCCTTTGAGCACGATAATTTAAACCTCTGAGTACGATAATTTAAACCCTTGAGTACGATGATTTAAACCCTTGAGTACGATAATTTAAACCCTTGAGTACGATAATTTAAAACCTTGTGTACGATAATTTAAACCCTTGAGTACACCACCAACAACAACAACGACCTGAGAACGATTAAAAAAAAAAAAAAGGTGAATTAAACCTAAATGAGACACCAAGCAGAGGACTACAGTACTTGCCTTCTCAGTGCCCCATAGTCCGAGCAGAGGTGAATTTATCTGAAACGAAAGAGTCATGTTAATATACGCTTTGTTGATAGTGAATATAAACAACAACAATATGTAGGTAAACAAGAGTGAAAAATAAGCTGGTCTTTCCTTCCATACATATGATTAAATAATATATATGGATTCTGATAGATGTATACACCACATACAGACAGACAGACAGACAGACAGACAGACAGACAGAAACCTACAAAGGTATACACACTAGATACAGACAGAAGAAGAAATACACATAGACGCACACATATACACCAATACACATATACGTACACAGACACGTATACATACACACAATTACGCATACACGAACTGCCATACAAATATACATACACGTACACATACACACAAATACACTTACATATACACACAAATATACATACACGTATACATACACACACAAATACACATACACTTTTACATACACACAAATACACATAGATACAAACAGACATCTTCTCTCTCACCTGCACGTCTCGCCTCACCTGGACAACTCATCTTCCCCCGAGTCCTCGTCTGTAGGTTTAATAATGGTTCCCACTAATGAGGTTAATCTTCCCTCTGTGTGTCCAACCTCGGAAGCCTGACACGACACCTGAGTGGCTTGATTACCCGCTCTGATTGTTTACACCTGATGAACCTGACGCTTACTGAGGACTGCTATTCGAACTCAGATTGCTATTTACGAGATCTTATGTGATAGCAATGACTCCCTAGTAAACGTCTACTAGTTTTAAGTAATTTTGTGGACTCGTAAGTGATTTAGGTTAGGTTAGGGTAGGTTAGGTTAGGGTAGGTTAGGGTAGGTTAGGGTAGGTTAGGTTAGGTTAGGTTAAGTTAGGGAAGGTTAATTTAGGTTGGTATGGTTTTAAATTGATATTGAAACAGTTTTTTTAGCCAGAAGAACATAGATACAGAGTCGAAAAAATAATAATATTAGTATGGCTGAGCCAGTTGAGAGCCTGAGCTCTCTTGTAGGCACCTGATATATACTGTACATTTATCTCAAGGAAGTATTATGTAACATTTAGTATCAACTGGAATAGTACAATAGCATGGTGGTAATAAGAACATATCAGAATGTTACCACTGTTATCACTTCGTTATTTATTTATTTATTTTATTTTTTTAACATTGTTATAAGTATATACATACTTTACAGTGGAGTTGATATACATAAATATGATAAGGGAGGGAAGCAGTACAACATGGGTTGTATTAAGGTGGAACAAGAGGACTCAGCTGTAAGTATCTTGTCTAGTGAGCAAATACATTTATTACAATGGTAATTTCTATCTATCTACATGATAAGTTCTGATAAAACAGTTTTGGTGGTACAATAAAAGCAGGAATATTAAGTAGGTATTACAAGAATATTAATACTTAGACAATAGATATTTTTTAAGAGATGATTTAAAGGAAGGGAGCGTAGTCTTTGCTGGGATGGGTGGGGTAAGTTGTTCCACACCTTCACACCGTGATATTTTATGGAGGTCTGGGACTGAGAGGAGCGCATGGGGGGTGGTCTTAGTAGCTCTGGGTGCCTTAAGTTGTATTTCTGATTATTCCGGAAGTGGAAATAATTATCGTCAAGCAAGTGATTGACAGATTTGTAAACAAAGAGGGCACAGCAGTAGGTGTTAATATCCTCGAATTTTAACATTTTCAATTTAGCAAATTGTTCATTAGTGTGATCGGTTTTTCAAGTAGGTCATTGTCCGCACGCTCTCTTTTCTGCAGTAATCAGGGGTTATGTTTTGAAGAGCCAGAGGCCCCCATAGTGTGTGACAGTGTATCAGGTGTTGGTAAACAAGAAAATAGATTTCTTTCATTGCTGTAAAAGTGAGTGACTGTCGAGTGTGATACATAATACTGCACTGTTTATTGACTTTAATGTGAATGGCTTGTATGTGGTTTCTCCAGTAAATTTGGTATGGTTTGGTTTGGTTTGGTTGAGTTAAGACGCCTCTAAATTGTGGTTAGGTTAGGTTAAAACGTCTCTAAATTGATATCTGTAATTTCCAAGAAGCTGAATAGACTTTGCTGTTCTTTAAGCAAGGTATTTAGGATAAGAATTGTGTAGCGTTGTATCCTTGTATGAAAAGACGGAAACACTCACCCTCTGGTTCCTTGGACACCCCCAGCTGCTGTGCCATGCACCACCTCACAGTCCACCTGTCAAACACACCTTGGGTAGACTATTCCCGGCTCCAGTCCATGAAATTTTTACAAGGAGCGACTGCTTCAGCGGGTACAAGTGAACCTAGAGTGACGCCAACAAGACCAACACTCCCTTGTCTTGCCTGTTACTCTAAGGTGTGTGTGTGTGTGTGTGTGTGTGTGTGTGTAATGGGGACGGTACTGACAATCATAGATCTTTAGCCAGCCTCGTTAAGATTCGGTGACCTGACCTGACCATGCCGCTGGACCTCATAAGCTTTAGTCGGAATAATGAAACCTTTTCTTTTGTGAGGTCTGACTCGGAACAAGGAAGGGAGATAAAAATTGGAAGAAGGGAGGGGAATATACAAGCGTGGATAAAAAAGAGTGAGGGGAAGGGAAACACGAGATGGGTGGGGAGAGGAGCGAGGTGACAAGAGCGGAAGGGGACGAAGAGAGGGGAGAGGGAAGGAGGTCAATGTTAGGGAGGAATAGGTCCAGTAATAAAATATGTGGAGGGAGATGGGGAGAAGGGAAGAGAGGACAATGAGGGAGGAAGAGGCTGAATAAGATGAAGAAAAGGTGGAAGGAAAGAGGAAGAGGCCAACTGGTGAGAGGTGAGAGATAGAAGGGAAGGAGGAAGGTAGCCACACGTCTCCAAGTCTTCAGGAAGGGAGGGGGAAAGGTAATGTTTCTGTTAAATACCAAGAAAACAAGTTAGAATATCCCACGACTGAACGAATTAGTTTGAGGATAAACTGTGTGTGTGTGTGTGTGTGTGTGTGCCACTGGCATGTGGACACGTTCTGAAGCCTAGCAAACAATGCCCCGCTGCCTTGAGGATTAACCTCGGTAAGTATAAGGCTACTGGGGTAAACCTCGAATGAAAAATCTGCGGTGGAGCCCCGCATCAGGCAGACATGCTTACAGAGCTCCAATGAGACCCCAACGGCGGTATAGGCGGAGGAGGTGACCACCATGGGAACCCAACGACTACACCGGAATGACGAAGGCAATGCCTGATGGACAGGCTACTAAGGCGAAACCCAACAAACTGGGCTATCAGCAGTCCATTGTAACTCTCCCTCTCCCCAGTCGTTGCAACACTTACACCTCTGGATCAGGAAAAGGGAGAGCCAAGATGAGTGGTTGCAGCCTGCGCTCCTGCCTCACCACATAAATCAACTCACGCACAGCCATCATCCAGCTCATCATAATCAAAACCCCTATAACCCCTAAAAGTCCTATGGCGACGGACGAGTGGCGACGGGGACAGGCAGAGATGACTGCCGGGAGTCTCTAGTCACAACTCTGCGCATGGGCGTCACATAAGGTGGTCGTTTATACACTGGGATCTAGGCAGCAGTGCAATCCGGTCCTGTCTGTGCGACTGGGCAGCCCTTTCGAGAAGCCACTCTGCTCACCCCACTGGGGAGGGGGCTAGAAAAGATGCCCTAAAAATAGCCTGCTTAAAAAAGCAACCCAACTGGGCAACCGTACCCAGTAAGATCATCCTTATGAGGTCGAAAACATAATCAAAACCACAGATCCAAACAAAAACAAACTACACAACCTCTTATGGTTGCTGAATGGAATGTCAGGAACCTTTTGGATATTGGCACAAACGAGCGTCCTGAAAAAAGACCTGCCCTTGTGGCAAAAGAGCTGGCTATGTATAACATCGACATAGCAGCCATCAGTGAGCCCCGTCTCCTAGACGAGGGTCAACTCACAGAACGGGAGTCTGGCTAAACTTTCTTCTGGAAAGGTAAGCCTGCTGCAGAGAGAAACCGCATTTATAGAGTTGGCTTTGACATCCGCCAACGCATCCTACACAGGCAAACTGAAATGCCTTTTGGGATCAACGAGCGCCTCATGATGCTCCGAGCCCCACTGAATCAATCACGTCATGTTTTCTTCATCAGTGCATACACCCCAACACTGGATGCAGAGGATGACAGCAAGGAGGCTTTTTACGCCGACCTCGACAGAGTGCTAACCTCTACCCCCAGAGAAGATAAGGTTGTGCTCCTTGGTGACTTCAATGCCAGAGTTGGCAGAGATGCTGACATTTGGCAGGGAATCATAGGGAGAAATGGACTAGACAAGTGTAATCCCAACGGCCTACTCCTCCTCAGCAAGTGTGCTGAACACAACCTCACTATCATCAATACCTTGTTAAGGCAGGCCGACAAGTTCAAGGGTTCGTGGCAACTCCCACGATCCAAACACTGTGTGTGTGTGTGTGTGTTCGTAATGTATCAAGGCACGCTATTCCACTTGGCGGTTCATAATCATTGGTTAAATACAACGTGTGTTTGCCTCCATGCAGTAAAAGAAACGGGAGTTGGTATATTGCACACACACACACACACACACACACACACACACACACACATTCATTAGCATTGTGTATCTTTCCATGTTGGTTGTTGAAGTATAAACTGCGGTGGTGTTACGTTAGTGGTTAAATCTCAACTTACACTATGTTTGTGGTTGAGTAAGGAGTCAACACATCCACCAGGTAGATAATTTACACCTTCCCTGGGCTTACCTGTACATGAAACACCTGGCCTCATTAAATGTAACAGCTAATATTTCCAGAAAACTGAGAGGGTGTAGTGTTGGGGCAGCAGGATGACAGATGTTTTCAGTCGTAAATAGACGGCCTGAGGGGTTGATTGGGCCGGGGTGGGGTGGGGTGGGTGGGGTGGGTGAGGGAGGAGGTGGGGTTGGGAGGGGTCAGGGAGGGGAGGGTTGAGGGTTGGGGAGGGGTGAAAGGAGAGGCACTATCCAAACACCAACACAAAAATAGAATTTAAGAAGAACAAGTG